TCATTGCCGTACATTAAACATGCCGCGCGTTGCTTACTGTTGTTCCACTTTTAATTGAAAATCGTTATTATAATCCACGATTCTGTGAAAAAAGGAGAAAAAAAGTCTACTATCATAACAATAAACAAATGACATTTTTCGGGATGGTCAATGAAGTTGTGGCAATATTTTTTGATTTTGGTATAGCACATATGAATAACTGCACCACGCTGGTTGGAATAAAATAACACGGTGATTAAGGACAGAACATTAAAATTAAGCATTATACAAGTTGTTTACCAAAAAAAGTAAAGTGTGCAAATAAATAATTTTCAACCTACAAACTTTATTTTCGGTAAAAACTTAAGACAGCTTTTCCAATAACATTTAGCCACATCCTCCAAGTAACATTGAAAAATCTGATATTTTTTTGTTTCTCCTTTTTTTTTGTAATTTCATAGTAAGGAGAATGAAAGAAAATGGTTTAAACAGTAAGACTTGAGGTAACTACACTGCTGGTCTTACTACGTTGTTTATGGTATGGAATGTGATCAAGCATAGTTAGTGGTCAAGATATTAGAAAAGATGACCAAGACCAAGATGATTGTTTCTGTCTCTCGAATTGCTTTCTTTAATGAAGTATTAAAAATTATATACTTTCGTTGGTGATTAACAGTGCTATGATAAAAAGATTAAACATGGAAATTCTATCAACTTTTTCTATTTAAAATTATGTTAGAAGAAAGACTTATAATATGCAATTATCAAGGATTTTCCTTTCTTCTCCCTATCATGTATTATCATGATTTAGAATATAGTAGCTGGGGTATCCCCCAGCTCCCTATTCTAAATCTGAGGTATCCTGAAGTTTTTGTTTATAAACTTCAAAGCATATGAATAAAATAGATTATAACCAAATTTATGTTTTAGTACCATTTTTGGTGCAATTAAGAAATCGCACCAATAATGGACAATACAGGGCATGTGATAGATCAAACTTAGCTACGTTAGTGTGTTTCCCTTTGATGCAGAAAGGGTGTTGTCGGATTTATATCATCTTAAAACATATCTAATTAAGAAAACTTTTCAGCAAATGAATACTTTTCAAAAATTTGTGTACAGTGCTGAAATTAGAAAAATGTAGAAAATTTTTCAATTCGATTTGACACTCATTTATTTGTATCACATTTATTTTGTCTTTTGTTTTATTGAACAAATTTCTATAAGCATAATTAAGTTATCGATAGGACTTACTGGAGAAGCATTGTTACAATGTAAAGAGAGTAGCATTAACTAAAATTAAAGTAAAAAAATTGATGGACATACAAAATAAGCTAGTTCGAACACACTCATCAGAAGAAGCATGATCAAAAACTTGAGTTTTTTAGAAAATTTAAACAAAAATGAATGATTCAACTATTTTTCTCTTTTACTAGAATATGAACATCATTTCATTGCTGTTAATTGGATTCCTTGTCATTGTAAATTGATGATGTTGTGTGGTGGTATTCAAGATGGCAACTTTTTTGAACAGTAAAATAGTAGTGGTCAAAATGAGCAGATGAGACTCTAACAATTGTAAAATAAAGCTTCATTTTTTTTAGTCAAGAGATCAAAAAAAAGAAAATATGAAAATTTATAAACACATGTAGATAAAGTAATATTAACATAAAAGCAATAACTGGATAAAAATTTGAAAATAAAGCAGCAAAAAGAGGAAATATATGCGAAAAATCGCATAGCTGGAAATTAAACGAGCCTGCTAAAAATTATCAGTAATTTATGAAAACGATGCATTTTTTTCATTCTTAAATCATTTTAGCTGATTTCATTTTGAAAATCACTTTAATATATTTGATGATGAACGAAACAGGTTAATTTAATTTTGATCTATTATTGTCTATGACTTACGGAAGCTCTAATTTTCCTGCTGCTAATGTTTTCCCGCTACTTTACAAGCCTGATTGCCTAAAAAAATTTCTTCCCAAACTACAGTCTAATTATTACTGAACGAAGGGAAGATCAAAAAATATTCAAATTTATTTTTTAACGCACATTTATACCACAAACCTATGATATCTTTTTGTTTGGAAATATATAAGATCGAACAAAACTGATAATTGTGATAGGAAAAAGAAAAAAGAAGCTTAAATAAAATCTAAAAGGGGTAAATTCTGATGCCACTTTATCTTGCACTTCTCTCCCAGATATATCAGCGATAAGTGCGATAAAATGGAGCATTTCCAAATTGAAATACTTGTCAGTATTTCAATTTGAGAACAGGTCTGATTGTATTTTTTATTAGTTAATATTTGAATAAAATGGAGAAGGCATATGAGATAAATGAGTTAATAACTGAAAGGCCTATTTAGATGTCATTTTACTATATTTTATGGAGAGAACTGTTGATGATAACAATAGGATGACATGAAAATATTTGATGTTTTTGGAAAAATTTATGATTTTCTGAGGTTAGCTTTAAATTTTTGCTATCAAAAAACGCGGATTTTAATGGAGTATTAGCGCAATAAATTAAAAATACTCCGAATATATGCTTTCATTTTTCAAAATATTATTTCCAATAATAAAATAGAAATGACTGCCCTGTGTCTGAAAGATTTAAAATAAATTTTGTGAATGATCTGGGCATAGGCAAAATTTACTTTATGATGCATTTCTTTAATTTATCAATTTAGTTTGTTGAAATTCTATTGCAACAAAAAAATAAATAAATTTTCATATAATTTCATTCTCAATGAGCGCAGAAATCGAAATAGACATTACAAATCGTAGTGCTTATTTTGTAGTGTTAGAAATCTATTTAACTTTCTAATATTTAAAAAGATAAAAGTATTGTATAACAAAAACGAATGTCCATCAGCCAGTATTTTTTTTTTCCAAATGTATCTTTCAAGCATTGCCACTTCAAGAAGAATCTTTCAATCAACTTGTATTTTAAAAAAATAGCAATTGAAGAATGCTAACTTTTTTTAATATTTTTAGATGAAGATAATTCATCAAAATATATTAATCTTAGTTAACTGGTTAAATTTTGTTATGATTATTAATTTAAAATTATCTTTTAGTTCATTGCTGTCAGTTGTCACTCTGAACAGCTAGCTGACAGTAAGCTCAAACCAAATTCACTGGTATATATTTAAGATTTTATTGTTACATTGTTTCAATACCACCTCACTTTTCAGAATCTCTTGTCCATCACAGTGACAAAAAATTTCAAATAAATTGCATCTCAGAAAATTTCATTTCTGTCAACATAAAAATGAAATGCCATATTTATTACATTACTAAAAAATAAAAATAAGTTATATCTCAGAATTTGAAAGTCTTTCACTCCGAAGCACATATATGTGACCGGAAGTTTTACATCGAAAAGGCACAGTATAAGGAATATACGTTTATTCTGCATCCATTATGTCAATATGCAGTTTTCAATGCTTAAAACAATCTTGTAGTTAATTTAATCTGCAATCATCTAATTTAATTTTCTAGATTTGCTTAACTAAAAGCAAATATTATAGTTCGAAAATTTTTATTATTCTTTGAAAACATGAGTGGTTTGGCCAATATTAGTCGAGCTTGAAGTATTAAAAGAATAAAATAGTACCTAAATTTAAGAAAAACCGATCTGTTATCTAAAAAAATTCAAATATTAGATTAATACTTTGCACAAAATATTTTAGATAATTTAAAGGAAGGCATTTTCAATAGTTGAAAATAAATTAACCGTCGTTTGGCCAATATTAGTCGAGCTTTGAAGTATAGCTGAATTTTGTAAAATTTTTAAATTGTGTATGTTTTGGAAACTAAATAAACAAAAATGGCCTGACATTGTAACACTTATGTATTTAAATTTATGGATCAGATCAGCTGAAGAGTTCAATTTTAAAAGATGAACATGCATCCTCATAAAAATTTGCATTGAAGATATTAGAAGTTATATCAACTTTTTTAAAAATAACAGCAATTTTTCAAAGTGCGCAATGGTATTGTAAGGTGGCAAAAATAGTAATCAGTTAGCTTATATTGATCGAATGTAGTTCTTGAAAGTAGTTGAAATTATTTAAAAACAAATGATATCTTTTTTATGGTTATGACATTTGAACTGTGGGACGATTTTTTTTTCTTTTTCTTGTTGAATGAGCTATTGCTAGTTGCCATTCCTTCAATAATGCGCTTGTAGCAATGCACGGAAGCATACTCAGACACTTCAAGTTTTCACTAAAATTTAAGCTCATAGCAGACACACAATAATAAATCCTGAAGTTTAAATTAAAAACTGAAGCAAAACTTGACACGTTTATGCTCTCTGATGTATGTGCAATTCCAATATCTAACATATCACAGTATGCATTTAGATAATTGGGGTTAATATCTTCAGAATCAATCAAGATTTCTCGGTAATATCATTTGAAAAGAGCTAGAGTTCTGTGTGAGGAAAAGAGCGCACGTTAGAGTGGCGCAGTGTAATGTGAGCTAAAAATTGTTATGGTAGGAAGAGGTGAAGCTAAAGAATGTGTGAAATGTGTAAACGTAGCAGCAGGCTTCTTCCAACTTCTCAAAGCTAGTTAAAAGCCTCCTCGTTGTTGAATTCATTGTACATTCTGTTTGTGCCACGCTACACTACCACTAAGTTCCCCCTTCGCTTATCTTCATTACGCGCTAACGATGGTGAGTTATGCTAACTTCTTTCTTAACTTCTACTTCATCTCAAATTCCTACTATATTTCTATTTCTCATCAATAGTCCAACTTCCATCAAGAAACTTTTAACGCCTGATACAATCCAAATTACATGATCTATTAGAAAATTTTAGTTTTAAATCCAATGAAATTATCGGTTTATCCAAATCATTCATAGTATATGTAAAACTGATTATTACTTCTTATTTGTTTGATCTGTTATGATCACCAGCATATACATCATATGGAAGAGGAAGGAAAGTAATTTCATAAAAATTAACTTGAAACCTTCAAAATCTTGTTCTTGTTAAAAATAATGAAGCAAATCAGTTTGCTATAATGATTTTTATAGTCAAAAGCAGCAAAGAAGAAATCAAGCAAGAAGAAGTCTGGCTCAGAGGCAGCTCAATTTGATCAAAAGACAATCCAAGAATTTAAAGAAGCATTTGGTATTATGGATCAAAATAAGGATGGTGTAATTGATAAACAAGATCTTAAAGATCTTTATGCAATGATGGGACAAATTGCATCAGATGCGCAAATTGATGCAATGATCAAGGAAGCCCCTGGGCCCATTAATTTCACGGTTTTTTTGACATTATTTGGAGAAAAGCTGACAGGTAATTAGTTAATTAATTAGTATTACTCACATTCAATATATTTCCAATAGCAATTCTACCAGACACTACTCACCATCAATCTGGGTGTTACTTATTATCTGGCGATTTATTTCAGTCCATTCGTTAATTAAGTTGTTAGTGAAATAAATGATCCAATCAGTCAATCACTGATTCTTATCCATATTTCACAACAATAATTTAATTTTAAATAAGGTTCATTTATCTCGTATTGTTTTCTCACCAATCTCCAAACTTTGCTTTATAAAATTTCTCTCATAGAACAATGATTTGATTGACATGCAGAAAATTGGTCTTAATTAAATTTATGCATTTACTGCCAAAAATCATTTAACTCTCTCCGACTGCGTTTCTTCTAGTTTTTCTTTGAAAAAAATCAGAAATGAAATGCATTATCGACGTCTCGATGTTTTTATTTCATTAATACTTAACTTTTTCATTCGTTGTCAGTGATAACAACAACGATAAAAAAGCCAAATGATTGCATACGGAAATTTTAGGAACGGACCCAGAAGCAACGATAGTTGGCGCATTCCAAATGTTTGATAAGAGAGATTGCGGAAAAATATCTGAAGAGGAGCTACTGAAAATTTTGCAGAACAAACGAGGGGAACCCTTCGATGATGATGAAATCAAAGCAATGTATAAGGTATCGTTCGTGTTCCATTTCAACTTGACAAACCAGAAATTTCCTTCCACTATCAGTTTTAATTTTAACTTAACAACTTTCGAAAGGATAAATCTTTCACAAATTAACTCATTATTGGCTAAACAGCGCTACTACTAAAAAGGATTTAAATTAAATATGTAATCATTGGTGATATTTTTTCTAATGAATGATTGCTAGTTAGTCAACCATTTTTTTTATCAAGTATTTCTTTAAACATTTATAAGCAATCTTTTAATATTATTCATTTAGGGTAAGCCACCAATTGAAAATGGCCAAGTTGACTACAAAGCATTTGCTCATTTGATAACAACGGGCGCTGCTGAAGAACTTGCCAAGGCATAACAACGGCAGCAACTGATGTGCATCGTTAAAGTAATGTTACGGGGGCACCTTTGTGTAACTTTTATTCTTAAATCAAATAAATTGAAAAAAATGTAATTAATTGCTCCCACAAAACATTATTAATTTCATTATCGTTTATTTATCTAACAAAATATTTATATTTAAGTAAGGGCGCTACTGCTGTCGGATTGCACACTCATGTTCCATTCCTTTCTTTCTCCAACTTCATCCATCAAATTTCCTTTTTTGTGCCTTTAATTTTTTTCAGACATGCATTTGTTTGTTCTTATGCATTTGTCTTATTAAATTCATTTGCTTCTAATGATTATGCTAGAAGCAGTAATGAAATTATTTTGCATTGGAAATTTTGTTATCGCTCTTTCACAAATCTACGGAACAGCGTATTTTTATATTTTCGGTAATACTAAGCAAACGAAAATAAACGACAAATAGTGATCCGGCAGCCTTCGCGCACAAACTTAATGAACGATTCTGTCTAGCCGACCTATTCGCGTTTTTTATGTATGTTAGATTCAAGCATTAATTTTATTATATACTTGCCGCTTCTGTTTACACATCTTCCGAAATTCTCCATTTTGCGAATTGGTTTTTAAATTCAAACACGTTTTTAAATTAACGAAGTAAAGGTCTAAAATTTAAACGATACTAATGAAATAATATAATGGCTATTATAATACACTAAATATCAACAGAAGAATGCTATTGATGAAATGAAAAATAAAATTTTAAAACAATATTCCCTTATTAAAAATAGATCGCTATTACGATTTTTTTTTCAAGTAGTAATTAGGTAACGTGTATCATTCAAACTATTCTTTTTTTGACGTGTTGAAAAGATAAAAAATAAATGAAGTTAAATTTGCATAATTTAATTGCATCAAAAAGCACAGTATGCGAACTAATGAACAAAGTTATTGGTAGTCAACTAAGGTATGACGTAACGGTCGAGAAGAATATTTCGATGTACAATAATGACGAAATTAAAACGTTGAAATATAGAAATTAGAAGAAACAGATAAATGAGGTTTGAAAGGCAGCAAAATCAAATCAGAAATTAACAGTTTATTTTAATAGAATCAAGAAATTTCTATCATCTACCAAATATCATAATTTGATAAGTAGAAAAAAATTGCAAAAATCAGGCGTTATTATCAATCACTAAGAATGGAAAGAATATTTAAGGAAGATGGAGAAAGTGGAATAGTTAAGAAGCACGGGTTTTGAGAATAATTAAAAAGCACGACTTTAATGAGAACAGGCTGTAAGAGTGACATATAACGCTGCGACTGCTGTTTTAAATCTTTTAGTTTTCTAGTTATTCATATCATATAAATAATGTGGATTCAAGAATTCTTAGAATATTTATTAAATCGATCTACTTCTTGAAATTTTATAAAAGAATGTAATAAAGTCATAAGTTCATTAAAGGATTCACTGCATTGTATTTTACTCTTATAAGTAATGCAAAAATACAAGAACTGCATTAAAAATACGTCAGCCGTGAAGAAAAAATCAGTTGCAGAAATATTCAATCAAAACAGTTTTTAAATCGCCTCAATTTGGAAATGACGTTTTCCAGATAAAAAATCACTTTTTACCCTTGAGATATCGAAAATCTCAATAATTCAGATTAGTTTTTGAAGAATTCACTGAAACATTAAGTGTTGGCCAACCTAATGAATATTATTAGAGAAAAAAAGAGCCTAAACATTCTTAGATTCTTAATTTGACTGCTAAATTAAACATTCTTCACTTATAAAATTTAAAGCAAATAACATTGATTGGAATTGTAATGCATGATTATTCTTGCCTTATTTGAAAAATTTTTCAAAAAAATGATGCCTGTAGCATTTTAGACTTCCTACTCTTCCTGTCCCACAACAATTGACAATTTGAAACTTTATCTGGAAAAGCTTGTGTGAAAGACTGGGAGACAAAACTGAGTGTTCATTTGCCGTTTTTCAGCAATCTACCATTGCAAATTGGCAGCTAAAAGTGATCAGCATCAATTTAGCATGAGATTATTAATCAAATTTGATAAAGAAAAGAAAGTTTTTCGAATTTATGTGCTAGTCTTTACTAAAGCTTTGTTTAATTACCATAATTAACAACTTACCTGTACAAAAAAAACTTAAAGTCAAGTTTGCATTATGACTATTTGGGAGTGTAGTGAATTTTAATTTCATCCTTTTTGAAAAATTATACAAGCTTTCATGGCAATCCACCTTTTTCACTACAATCACAGCAGTTTTTGCACAAATGTTTTCATCATTGACCATTTTCGTTCATATATGATGGAGGTTAACATTTTGCAGATATGTTGTAACCTCTTATCCTAAGATAAACTGAAAACTAGTAAAACTTCGAATCACTTTTTTTTGAAGAGCTCACGGACCTCCTCATTCTTCCTTTTCTTTTATTGTTAGGAATATTTACAGCACTCTTCTGATAATTGTTTATTGATTCTCATTGGATGAAGATCTCTGCATTCTTGATTTATTCTCATAGAGCTATATGTCTTACATATATATGACTACCATTAACAACTCGTAGCAAATATTGGCAGTTGCAGTTCCATTATTCAACATCTGCCTCTTTTTGTTCTAGACAGGTAATGCATAAAGCTCAGTGACAGTTAAGAAAAAACACTATTTGAAAAAAAAAAACTATGATGAAATTTGGGAAACAGAGCGGGGAAAGAACGAATCATTCAAATTGTAAAAAACAAGTTGCATTCTCAGTCAATAAAAGAATATCTTTCATAGGAGGCATCAATTCAGAGGTTAGGAAAGCAAAGGTATAGAAATTTGAGTGATAAAAATTCACTGTAAGACTACTGGTTTTCTGGAAAACATTTTCTTTCAAGTGTATCATCCTGCAGGTCTATGAAAGTTTGCAGTAAAATAGATTTTTTTAAAAGTCTCTTTTGTAGATGGTTATATACAGTTGTTTTTATAATGACGAAATCAAATTTAAAAATATTTCGTACAACAATCGCAACCTCCTGAAGTAGACATCAAACGAAAGACAGTCTTTTTCATGCTATTTTAGCTTATGATTGATACATTAGACAAAATATACGCGGATAAACAAGTCGAATTTTTCATTACTAATATCGAGAAGACCACTAATTGAGACTGTTGAATGACAGGAAAATACAAAATATTATAGCTAGAACTAATAATTAGGCTGTCAATAATAAGTAAAAGAAGTTTTAGATAGTTAAGAAAGAAAAAATTGTCTTAGATGGTTGGGAAAAGAGAAATTGAAGGAGTCCACAGGACGGAAAACAAGCAAACCAAACGAATACACACTATGTCGATTTCAAAGTACAGTTTGAAAATGAATTATATCATTATGAACTTGGATTTACAACTTTATCAATCCAGAAAAGCTTAAATTTATAATAATCGAAACTTCCATAAATTGTCTTCTAGCACAGTATTTGTAAGAAAAAACCGCAGCTCCGAACAGCAATCTCAGTCATCAGTTTGTGATGAATCAACCTGATGTAATGACCATTCTTCTAATTCACCTTTCGCCCAAACCCAAAATATAAATGCGCCGAATATATAAATGCCTGATGTAAAAAAAAACACAGTATGCCATTCACAGCGCAACTAAAATGATTTAAAATCTGATTAAAGTTTTATCTGACGATAATGATTTCCAACAATATTTTCAGAAGAAACGAGAGTTCTTTTTTGGAAAGAAAAAGTTCGAAATTTGCATTTCTCACTGAAAGTCTTGTAAACTGTTGTACAGGATTAAATTAGTTGAAACAATATCAAGATTGCAAAATAACCTGATTTTTGACGACTGCACCAACAAATAAAGGACTAATCATTCCTGGTAATGTAGCTAATGTATTCGAAAGACCCATAAGGTGACCAGCGTACTAAAAAAACTTTAAATTATCAAATTTCATTATAGACTGCAAAAAAAAGAAATCCTTCAAAATTTACATTTTTAGCTTCTCAAAGTTAAACTGATGCAATAAAAATTACTCGATTTCTTCAATCTTCCTTTTACTTTCGCTGAAATTTTATAGTTACCTGTGGAGCGATATCGAGAGAATTGACGGAGAATGCACTCCATGCAAGACCACCCAAACCAACAGAAATTATCAGCGAAGCGAGTACCAACAATCTGCGCATTTCCGTTGTTGCTAACAACAAAAATGCTGCTTCTCCCAACAATCCTGAAAATTCGAATTCGTGAGAAATCGTAAAATCTGGAAATGATTTAGAGATCGCTGGACGATAACAAGCCATTAAGATGAGTAAAATATAACGAAAATTTTGAACGAACCTAAACAGCAAAAAACTTTTCTCGCTTTAATAGTGGACCACATATAGTTCTTCCTAAGATAATCAGCAAAACCACCAGCAGTCAGGAGCACAATACCCATAGGAACATATGGAAGAGATGATAGCGATCCAGCCTGTTAATTCAAAAGTAATTTCATTCGAAAAATTTTATGACATTGCAAAATGAGAATAAATATTAAAAAACTCAATGTCTATCCAAAAATATACTTTTTCACGATCATAACTAAGGAGATTTTCCAATATCCGTGGTAAACTTGTCAACATTGTATAAAATCCCCAATTCTGGCATACATGTGCAATAACAATGGCCCAAACGGCTCTACTTGAAAGAATATGTTTCCAAGGAACAACCTGAAATTTAATGTCTAACATTCTTCAATGAGCACTCATCCCTATGGAAATTGTATAAGATGTAACAGAACAGAATAAAAACATTAGGTGTTGGAAAACTTCAAACAAAATTTGGTTAAAGATAAATGGAAAATGTAGCTAAATTGAGAAACTAAAACCGATATTATTTCATTAGTTACATTAATGATATCCAATGTTTCACACAATCTTATTTTCATTAGTATATTATGGAATTTGATGTAAACATTTTTTCTTATTATTGAAACAACAGAATCCAAATTAAATTATTCAGTGCTGCGGATTACTCCTCACTCATAAGTTTAGCCGTACAGGATTTACTGCTTGCTTAGTTTCGCGTTTCAACAGCGTTAATTCATCCGTGGTTATATTTGGATCATTTTCCGGCATATCATGAAACTTTTTCACCCATAAAAAGCACCATAACAAAGCAGCTACTCCTGAAATGTTCAGAAATAACTGAGCTTTTAGGCAGCTTCAATAACACATTTACCTACAGTATATTAAAGTAATGGTCTTTGTTCCACTTAAATTTACTTTAATACTTATCAATCCTTCATCATTTTTAGAAACTTACCAAAGAAATAAAATATGGATGGCCATCCGAAATGAAGACCAATAACAGCCGATATAGGCATTGCTATGACGGTTCCGAAGTACGAACCAGCGTATGAAATTGCGCTCATCCGAGTTTTTTCCATCGTTGGTGCCCAGTTTCCCAGTATAGCATGCATTGCAGGATACGAAACACCCTAAGAATATATTTGATAAATTCATTGTTAATTTAATTAATGAAAGTTTCTTATAAATCTATATTATAAACGAAAGCAACGAAAGCAAACATTTATTAAACATGATAAAGAATAATTTACCTCAAAAAGTCCTTCCCAAAATCTTGCTGCCATTATTGAAACTTTCCCAAGTTTTGCCAGTGGAGGAGAAAGCAGAGTGAAAACAGCAGTACCTGAAGAATATGGAGGAATTCTCATATGGTACCAATTAGGAGTGTTGCTAACAAAAGTCAAATTTCTTTTTGTATTCAAAAAAATGAAGTTACAAAATTTTTATATATTCCGCATAATGTTTCTTCTACATTCTCTGGTTTAAGTCAGCAACAATATACAATTTACCGAAAACACCCGCGAAATAAACGAACTTTCCACCATAACGATGTGCCAAGTAACCGCCGAGAAGCTGTGTTAAAAAATAGCCATAGAAAAATGCTCCCAGGATAGCACCTTGTGTTATCGAGTCCCACTCGAACTCAGCTTCCCTCTGCAATTTGTTGGTATTAGAAACCTGGAATAATGTTACTGAATTAAAAATCCACAGAATTTGCTGAGAACTATTGAACAATTTGTAGAGGTTGAAAATGAAATACCGTCTACAGAATCGCTAAGTATACAAACAGCTAAGTACAAGATTTTGACGCATTCAGTTAAATAATTCAATGCAATGAATCTGATTATTTAAAAATAAAATAGTTCTATCGAATAATGGCACCCTCTCGATCGTAATATTAAAAATTGGAAGTCGTTTAAATTTTTAAGATTGAACATCTGATATACGATTAGGCCTGGTAATCTCTGCTATACTATTAGGTTAATAACCGATTATAAGTTGTAAGTGCAAAGTATAACATTACTATATGCTTCTGATGTTACGCATTAGTTCCTAGCATGAACTGAATATGTGAATGGCGAAAGTAAATGAGTGTATACCACTTGTTGTCCATCTACCGTGATCACAACCGTATCACTAGTCATCTGAACAATCGCAACTGATAAATTCGCCCTCATTGCGTAGATATTAGCAAATCCTAAAAATGCTAATACCACGACAAGATGTCGCCGTTGCAAATAGCATTTCGATTCCGATTCTAAAATTAAAACGATGATCGAGGAGAAAAATATCTGAAGGATGTTAGAAAGTCAGCAGAGACTGGAAAACAACTCTTTGTTACTATCAATTCATTATTAAACATCTTTTAACTATGCACTCTTGCATACATTAGCCTGAGGATTATTCCACAACAAGAACTTATGGCTAATTTCCACAACGCTCTTGAGTTTTATTTTTAAATAGAAAACTTACCGGTGACCCGAAATTTCGATGCTAAATTTCTTACCAGCATTAGGCAGAATTTTTCCAGTAGTCTGGTTTTCAGCATCTTTCAACTCTTTCAAAACACCTCATAAAAGATTTTACAATCGAGGTCTATTTTAATTCTCAGCGATCCATTTACTCAAACAAATATTGCCGGAGGGTATTTCTGACATCTCATCCTTATTTCCATAATTCACTAAGAATAATGAATGCCATAAAAGGAACTGTTCCTATCATTGAATCAAATTTTCAATGAACGGGTATTATCGGCATGCATGAACCTATGAACTTTGTGAGGATAGCTACGAAAAGTTAGCAACGAAATGCGAAACGATATAGTTGCATTTTAGTGATGCTAGCAAAGAACAACCATCTAACAATGGTTGCAAATTAGACATGCTAAAAGATAACTGATACCTGAGGTCGAATCGATATCAGCGGGATTTGCTGTACCATACTGTGAAGCGGACATATTGCGCCAAGTTAAGATTAGCTCCTTTAAGGAAAAAGCTTTGTCTTTCGTGTTAATAGCAGCTTTTTTTATTGTTATTCCAGAGAAAGTGGGCCTTCACTAACACGACACACACGCATACACACACGCACGCACACGCAGACACACACACGCTCACATTAGCATGTTAATGTGCACATATTGTCACTAATCAATTCGGCCTTCAACAATGTCAAAGGCTCGGCGCAAGTAGCACAACTAAGCCAATTATAAATGATGGATGGGATCAAAAAGAAGTCAAATTACATAGGAACATAACTGGAAACATGTCATCCTCCAGGATGCCATATATCGATGAATAGAAGTCATATTTGATGATAAATGTGTTGATAAAAATGCTCAGCATGTCAGCCTATCATATATCTCAATTTTTTCCTTAGTGAATGAACTATAGAATTGTATTCCATTTTTTTTTACTGAACTGTAACTAACCATCCTAAGGTTGTTTATATTTAATGGATTTATATGCTTTAGATGAGACTAAAGTTATTCATATAATTATCAATAAACAGGAGAAAAATAAATCAATGTATGGAGTAAATTATTCATTCTACTGAAATTTGAACATTCGAGTTGCAAACATTTTTACAATGAATCACTTTCAATTTTTTTACGAAAATATTTATCTAATCAACAGTGAAAAGTAAAACTATTCCCTCGCAGTCACTGCATATTGAAATTTATTTGGTTTTTTTAAATACAAAAAAAAGCAAATAAACAAAGTTTTGGAAACTGTTGAAAATATTTAGAAGAGTGTAAATTTTGTGAAGGTGCAACTTTATTGTCTTAAGTTCGTTCGTTTTTTCTTTTTTATTTATTGGGAACTTTCAACCTTTTGTTGAAAAAGTTCATTTCTGTTCATTGAAAATAGAAAAGCAAGAAACCATTTTATAGGCGGAAATGTCATCAAAGACTTTTGTGAAGTAATGATAAGTATTTTTTTAAATCAGTAATACTGCAGCTATCAAATAATCTAACATTTAAACAACAGAACACATTTGGCATCGTTGTCATTCCCTATTGTCATTTCCTCTTTTCTGCATTCTGTTTTCTTGGTATAGCCAACATTTCATCTTTTGTAAGAATTACAAAGAGAAATGCACAACCAATTCGTTACTATTACTGTCAGAAATTTCCGCATTTTATTAGAAAGATAGTTGAATTTACAAATATGATAAAATTTTTCGTGGTTGAAATTTCTGAATCAAACCATTTTGTTAAATTTTCTTCCACCTTTGCAAATCCATTGCATATAATGGAAAAAAAGGTATGTTTTGCAAATGATTAATTTTATTTAATCGTTTAATCTTCCGAAAGCTCAAGAAAATGGTACAATACATTTTTGAAAAATTTTTGTCGATAAATATTAGAAAATAAAACTACCAAATGATTTCAACTGCATCTCAAAATGTAAAAAATCCTTATGATAATTCATATCTTGGCTAGTACTGGAAAGTGACACCACTTTTTTTCAACAAAAAAATCTTTCCCATAACATTTATCAAGGGACAAACTTAATTTTGCTAAACTTTAAAATTCAGGTGTGAAAATTACCGAACTACCACAGCATAAAATTTCCAGTTTTTCTCAAAAAACCAATTTATATTAGAGTGATCGAAACAAAATATTCCTTAAATTTGTTGCCCAAATTTTTAATTCCGTTAATGGATTTCATGACGTATTTCCTCACTTCACTTAATCCAATTTGAACAACGATAAAAATGACTAGGGATTCTAATTTGTTCAGCGTAAAAAATTAATTTCAATAATGAAAACTGAAAATAAAATTGGTACTTGCCCATGACATTTTAAATGTCAGGGAAGCCTGAAATTTCGAATATAAAAGAACAAAAAATCCATCGAAAAAGACAAATAATTTTCATCCTTGCTGTATTGCTCGTAATCGTAATGAGCCTCAAAAAAGCTGTGAAACTCATAGTTATGTAAGAGGGCTTAACCAAAATAACCAATGAAAAGCGCATTAATATCGATTCAGAAGCATGACATCATCCACACAAAATTTTTTTGTATTTAGGAAATATGGTAACAATGAAATGCATACGTCATTTCTTTGATTCTGAATTAATTGGAAAGGAGGAATGTGAAACTGGTTATACTTGAAAAGTAAAATGACGATAAGAGAAATGATAACAGCTTGAACCCTGAAAAAAAGAGAAAGTTAAAAATTGATCATCTAATGATACTAATACCTTAATTGATCAAATGAAAAGAGCAATTATTGATGAAATGGTAAAATAGACCGCATTTTCTTGGCTTGATTAATGTGAGATAAGTATTCATCAATAGCTTTCATTAAGTTCTGACAGTCTAACTGAGCTCGAAATATTTTGTAATATTATAATACAGTGAACAAAGGCTGCTTTGTGCTTTAACGGAAATGAGAGGAATAACAGAAGATTGGAAAATAGTAATGAGTAATTTTTTTAATTACTACGAAAATCAGTAACTCATATATAGCTTTTTTAGCTCATTTCCAGCTCCACTATGCTTTTTTTTCTTTATTACAACGTGACCATTTCAATCAAATTAAATGAATGAGGAATTTTTAGGAAATCATTGAAATATTTAATGCATAAAAACTGTTTTAACTAGTAAGGAAGCAAATTGAATTGTTGAAGCAAAATGATGACTAGCGTTTGAAATGTTAGCCAAAATGACCAATGTATGGTATATTTAGGGAATATGGTAACAGTGACGATACAAACAGCTTACTCTGTTCAGAAATAACATTCCGCAATTTTTCAATTTTAGATTTAGATTTACAGGCTTTCAAGAATATGGATTTCCTTACTCTTCTAAGATTGGATGCCGACCCAAATTGAACAAATTTATCTACTTTATAACTCGGTGACAACCAATTTGTAACAGAAATAAATTGCATTTTGCAGAAATTTTCAAACACACTACACAAATGGCTTCTTGACTGTTGAGGTCTTCTCTTTAATTTTTCATTGTTCCATTTGCTAAGATTTGAGAATCAATCACATCAAGAACTCCGCACATTTAAGTATTTCACTACCATAAGATTGAATTTAGTGTATTGTCCAACCATTCAAAACTAAATTCCCTTAACGAGAAAAGGATCTGACTATGGTACACAATACCATGCATTTTATCCCAGACAATGATATGCAACATTGGGCATTTTACCATCATGCCTCATGTAAAAAAGCCCACCATCAAAAGATACGTGGACATTTTCTGTTTGAATCATGACTGAATTGCCATAAAATAATTTTACAAGTCACGAGAGTCAAAAAATTAAACTTATTTTGAAGTAAATCTTGCACCCGACTAAACATTCAAATTAAAGAATATAATTTTTACAAAATAAAAATGTATATCACTTTTATGCGCCAAATCTTCGTTACTCACTTTAGGTAAAGTGATCGTTATCAATAAACTGATAATAGTAACAAAATGATATATTACGGAAAGCACGACCAGATTAGTTAACCTAGCAAAGAGGAATCGCTACCTGTTTGTAGAACAAAATTTGTACAACAAAAAAAAATACAAAGCATTGCAAACCTTAAATAGAGTAATGCAAGCATTATACGTAATTAGTCTCAAATCAAATAAAATTGAGGTACAAATGCAAAGGTATCCTTTATGCTGCGCACCACGTCTGCATTGGCAAACATTTTTAAACACCGTCATACTTAATTCAAAAGTTCTCAATAATATTTGCGTAAAAATTTGTGATAATGGAAGTGTATAGCAACGAAAATACCACAGCATTTACGGTTGGTGATAATACTAACGGAATCTAATTATATGGAAAAATAAATAAACATTATATCATAAGTTTATCACAAAAACATTGTTGTACAGTTGAAATTTATAGAATCTACCAGTTCCCCTCATTTGCTGATTTTATAACATCTGGAAATTGCCCTCAACTTACTGGCTGGAAAATGAACTTTTTTAAAATGAATTTTGCATATCTAGAGTTGTCTTTACGAGCAAATGAGGTATGAGAGTAATAGTTTATGCAGACTACAAATGAGCAACATAAACGAATCATTAGTAAACAAATCGACTTCGATCGTATTGTTTCCAATAACTTTATTCTAAACTATAGTAATCTGATAACAAATACAGTAGTTCAAAAATCTTTACATTCCAAAATCAAAAACACATCCCAATCTAAATCGTTTACCATATGCACATTTAACGAAGTAAATATGATTTAGATAACAAACATAATAAACCTAAAAATAATATACAAAATATGTATTTAAAGATGTTCAACATTTCAACTATTATTAGCTTCGCTGATAATCAAACAACTACCTTACATTCTTTATTAATATAATGATAGACAGTATATACAATATAAGAAAAATATAAATACGTGTGCGGGATTATTCTTCATCGTCATCATCATCTCCCTGTGGCCGAATTGTGATTTCGCGCACGGTTGCATTTGCCATCGCACCAAGCAGGACCTTTAACAAAGCACTTTCATAGCAGCGGAACCGAAAAGAAAGTAGATCCTGAATCTAATACCATAAAACTTCGCTGATAATCAAACAACTGTTTTATACTTTTTATTAAAATAGTAATACACTGTACTGAATTAACATGTATGGAAGAATGATTTGTTGGGAAACATGATAAAACTAAACTTATTTTTCATAGCTATAGCTCAAAAATTATTCATTGTAGACAATGAAGTAAAGAAATTTTACTTCCGGACAAGAGACGAAAACGTAGTGGTCGTTTTCATATGTTCCACAAAGTTCTCGCACCTTTTCTTGCAACTGGGAATTTGTTGTGACCCAAATTGTATAAACATTTGCTGGCGAACAAATCAAACATTCTTCAAGCATCGGTAAATCAGTTTCAGAGTCACCACATACCAAAATTTTACCACAATTTAGTTTCAATCCCATTTTTGATTTGATCAAACGAATTCCATGACCCTTATTAAAAATTCGGCCAGAAATCTTCGCCTAAAAAAAGAGATCAAATAAAAAAAACTTAGCAACAAGAAGTTAACGAGTAGAGCGAAGTTATGTGCCAGTTAAAGTTATGCCTCAGAAACTGAACTTCAACATTTTCTTATAACTGGAATGTGGATTCTTGGTTTATGCAACAGATTTCTTTTTAAAGAGCAATCTGCATTAACATTATTTATCAGTCATAAGAAATATGTATGATGTAATCAATAAGAATGAAGAGTTGATAACAATATCAAAAATTACCGTCGCACTATTAACTTCTGACAGCGCTACTTTCGTGAAAATCTTCAAATCAAATTCACCCTCTCGTAATGCTAGAGTTGCAGATGTAGGATCTACTTCATTCACTATTTTACATACTGCCTGGTATCTGAAAACACGGAGCAGTAAATTTTATTTTCATGAAATCTTAAATCGAATATTTTGTTAACTGACGATTAGCATAAGTCTATCAGTTCAGAAGTGATTTAAAGAAATAAATTAAAAAACAAACAAAAGGGATGAACGATGCTTAGGAACTGAATAGTTGACATCTTGACGAGCAATTGTAATATGTCCATAATGTCTCTGTAGACCAGAACCAATCCACGTGAAGTTACGATATTCCGGTTGTTCAAGTAATTCTTCCAGCTGAAATATATCGCATTAAAATCTCATTAGTTTATTCGAATATTCCACTTTAATTGTGAACCATTCTTCATACTCTTTCAAAGACATTTGTTAGCAAAGCCAGATCTGCGTCATTAACACTATCATCTTTGAACTGCAGCGACGGATTTAAATACCATTCACGACCAGCAGATGCACCATATGCATAGTAGCCTTAAAAAATATTTTAATAAACAAGAATGAAACTACTACAGAAATATTTAAAATACGATTCATGAGATATTTCACTATTTTAATATGGTAAATACAACTGTCAAGTTCAGTTACATCTTATATTCCATTTCCAATAAGTACCGAATAATTCAATCAAAAATAGCTGCTATAAAAATTAAGAATTTTTGATTTGTATTTAAGAAAAAGGAAAGCACAAACCTTCCGGCATTGTACTGACATTCAAAACACCAATATGCATCAGCGGTGACGTAGTAACAATTGCGCAAAACTGGGCACAACGTCGAGCAAATTGTGCCTGAATGTGTTTGTTTTTGACAAATATATCTCAAATTAATCATAAATAACAAAAAATACAACTATGTTAACCTTGAAAACAATAAAATGCACCAAAAGTTTATAATTGACATATACAGTTTTGGATATCCAAGTACTAAATTTAAAAGTACTTGGATGACGGCAGAATATGCTGGCTGAATACTGGCTGGGTAAGAACACGAATACGATTTCAGTGTACCATCACGATCGGTAAAGAAATGTTGAAAATGATCACCTTCAGTTAATAAGGCAAATGCCTTATTAACTTCATCAACGAAAGCTGCCTGTCCAGCAGGATGATAACTTCCAAGAGTCTGAAAAATGGCACACTAATTAAAACGTAATGTCAAGAAGAGCGTACAAATAAGTAAAGGAATTGAAAATGCAAGTTCAAAGCTAACCATAACGAACTGCTCCACATTATTGATTTCATCGCTTTGAATAAATCTGAGGAACTCAAGATCGTTTTCTAATTCAGCTAATTCATTCGTTATATCAAACTTTGCAGTCAGATGTTGGCTACCCTCATCTGAATCATCACCTGCTGCAGCAGTCTCCAGAATCAGAGTGTACGTACCAGGAACACATGAGTTTTCAAGCGATGCCTACAATAAATCAGTTACTCTATCATAAGTAATACATTCTCCACACAAACAATATTATAGAAGAATCTCATACAAAATATTTGTAATGCAGATATTAGAATACAAAATAATCACTCGTTTTCACACCTTTGCATTTTCAAGCGAAACGGAGAAATGAGCTCGAATTGCAATCCCTTTCAAAACCCGTTCAGCAATTTGTCGACGCACCTGACATGTCTTATTCATGAGTTGATAAAAATCGGCCAAAAGCTTTACCTGAATATAAGGCCAACACAGGTATATAAAACATTAAGACATATGAACTATTAAAACTACGGTTCTTCATACAAAAATAGAAACTCATTTCCTATAAAGCATTTTAACAGAGAATTATGGAAATCGATACATGTTAATAAGAATATGCTCAAGATGAATACGCGTTTCGGTAATGCATACCTCAGTGAGTCTGATTACTTCATGGGTCCATGAGGGATCCAAGAAAGCTGTACTCCACTCATCGATATCATGACTCATTAAATACTGGTTCAAAAGAATCCCGTGATCATGCCTTACCTCCAGGGACTCTGTTGCAGCTTTGTAAAAGCAATCGGCAAATATCTAAATTTATGAGCCATTCAGAAATGAAATATCAATCAACAAAAGGAAGACTGGCCCTCAAAATCACTTCTTAAAGATCTCATATTTTCAGAAATTTCAGTACTTCAAATAACTGACAGTTCAACATGTCACCAAACATAAAAACAAAACATAAATTTCGGAAGAAACCGTTACTACACTAACCTCGGTATTCGTGACATCCTCGACCCTGTAGTAACACTGCTTGTCCTGGGCATAAAAACCAGCATTGCCCAACTGCACTTCAGTCCCTGCTCCCGATGAAAGAATGAGTGCAGCTGCTGGATTACAAATCAACATTTCTTTTGCCACCAAATTCATGCCATCTTTAATCGGCGTCACAACACCCACATCCATTGCCAAATAATGAGCCACCAATTTAGCTCGCGGTAAACCTACAGAGAACCTTGGATAAACACAAAAAACAATTCCTCTATGCAAATAACGATAAAACAAATGAAGTAGACAACTTAATAATTCAAATACCATCCATATTGAATTTCAGAGGTTTCCAATTTGGAAACTGTTTGCAAGGGAATGCCGTATTCACATCATTAACAATTTTCATGCAATTATCTTGATAGACCCGATACGATTCAACAGATCGTCGATTAGTCACTGCTACTTGATATAAAAGATCCAGTCCGATGCGTTCCGGATATTTCTCAAAATAACGTTTCCACGCCTGGAGAAAATCTATTTATTTTGATGAAAATTTTTAGAAAATTATAATTCAAGAAAAAAATGACATGATAATGAAAAGTTGAAAGAGAATACAATGGTTAAGTATAGTTTAGTGAATTACAGATAAAATAAACTTCCCATAGAGCACAACCTAGACTGACCATGATGTATTTTCCACATCGTTACCGCTTACGTATTTTAAGTAAGCAAAATTTCCAAAAAAGAACCTTAAGTTTTTCAGCGATACCCTTCGTATAATCGAATCGCTCCACAGAAAAAAAAATGCAGCCTTTCTGGGATCCAGCAGAAAGCAGCTAAAAAATCTATGTTAGAATGCCATAAAGCAACAAAAATAACTTCAAACAATAAAATCACCTCTTTTCGTATTTCAATTGCAAGCTTTGTAGTTGATGGATTTTTCACGATATTCAAAAAATCTTCGTTTTTGATTGACACAGGGAAAACACCCAATGAACAAGTGAAATTCTAAAAGAACAATCTTCAGGTATTTTCATTCAAAAAACTTTAAGCCTGCATGTATTGAAAAGTGTCCTTCAAAAAAGTCATTTTTGACTAACATAGAAAAAACCTAATGAGGAAGTAAAATCTAAAAAAAAAAACTCTTAATAAAACTACTAACTGGATGCATTCAAAGATAAATTTAGAGAACACAAATAATTACATCATGAGTGACGGTGAATATGTCAACTGTACTTTCATATTGAATTCGGGCACGTGATATATGTTTTTTTACCAGTTCTACATATTTCTGACGATCGCGATGAGTTTGAAAGCCAACCTGTGAATGAAGTCTTTCACATATCATTCAAATCACATACTTTCAAAACATTCACTGTACCGTGCGATACACTGCACAAACAATTTTCTCAATTACTTCAAAACTACTTGAAAACTAGAATGTGCGCAGATGGGAAAAAGCGGAACGAATATCATAAATGGTAACTCGCTTGATATTTTCCAGCTTTTACACGAATCCAAGGCACAAAGTGTGTTCAGTTAACTGACTTTTGTGAATCGAAGTAAGGCTCGCATTATTGGTTCCGCAACGATACGATATTTCGTCATCCAGTTGTCTGGGGGTTGAAACGGGATATGCAGAAAAAATCCGACCTAAACGAAATACAAATTGTTCATATTTATTAATAAATCAGACTGACAAAATTGTGCTGCAATAACGACTCATAATTTAACATACTGCCCACCTCTAGATTACTATCTAAACTTCTCATCATCTGTCCTGTAAGCATTAGGTGATAGTCGTGAATCCAGATGAAATCCTGCGGTCGACTATTCCGGACGGCATTAATTCCAAATTGATAATTAACTCTGACATAAGCACACCAATGTTCTCGAAGTATCTGCAAAATGTATAGGACCAAGAAATATATTGAAAGAAGACGTGACGTTTTCAATGTGAAGATATTCAAAAATGAATTTTACTGTGGATGGAAGTAATGAGTGGAAGAGCATGCAAACCTGTTCATCATCGTAATCTTTAACAATATATTCCGGTAAATTGTGCAATACGGGCCACAGTAAACCATTGCTGATGCCGCCATAGTATGTATTATAATCTTCTTGATTTACAATTACTGGATTCAATTGATAATTTGATTTATTGTAATCATGCAACACTGACAGCAATGACATCTCGCGCCTGAATTAAACAAATAGCAACTAATGTACCGAAATTTTTTTAGGATACATAATCCTCAAAAATTAATAATTTCTCATCCCACTTTGTATTCAGATCTTTTCATTTTACATTATTTTTAATCTCACCCATCACTTTTTCAAAGCTGTCATTCTCTATTCTTTACAAACTTCTTTGAAAATTTATTTCTCAGTTCTAGTCAATAAGATCATGAATATTTTCAGTTACTACCTATTAATTACTTAGCACGTATAGAAAATTACTTACTCTACGTCTCGCTCATTTTCTGTTAATGTATTCGGTTTCGGATCGTCGCCCAAAACATGAAAAATTTCTCCGGCATTGGCCTGTCGAAGAAGTGGCAATCCAAGCGAATTAGTAGAAGGTGGTGCCTGAAAGTTGAAATGACTAAAAATTTGGTTCAAAAAACTCTTTCGTTTCCAGTAATTATAACAATGACACTGTGTGATCTACTACAGATAACCTGTAAAGGATACATGTTCTTCGTTGAGTTGTCTAGCGGCCCCTTGCAAATTCATTCCAATATTCGCAAGCCACATGTTTTCTTTATCGATACTCATTACTGGATCAACACAGGCTACCAATCCACCACTTCCTTGTTGAATTTCCCAGCTACCACTTAGCTTACGTTTTATTGATACCGGTGGTGCATTTGAAACATTGATTACACGCTGCTAAAAAACAAATGCATGAAATTTTTCTAAAATTTCCAGTTATCCAAAATTTTGGAGCTATAGACTATTGCTGAATGCAAACTGATTGTAGCTTGTTAAAATTTTAGACATAAAATGCTATCTTCACTTCACCAAATGCAAATGTAATTTCCGTATTTAAATCATTACCATTACTTAGATTACAAGACTAGATAAGCGGTCCTTGAGTTGTCATTTCAAAATTACGATTTCCCTTTCAGCGCATTTCTGTGAGAAATGTCAAATTTTCAGAAAAAATATACGCTTCTTTATGGGGAGATTTGTACCAGTTCAAAAAAAAACTATGGAAAAGTATAGTTTCGTTTGGATATATTTAATACTATTTGTATTCTTTTATTTCGCTATAAGGCTGGATAGATTTTATCAAAAGCTTTATCAGATAATACTCCAATCAAACGCAATTATAATTTTTTTATTCAATTTCGAGCCATCACTATTCTTTTGCGATTAACAGTGAAGACTAAAAAATTTTCCTTATATGCAGAAATGGCTGATGTCTAGCAATTCACTTTCAATCTTTCTACATTAATTACAGCAAAAAATCAATTTTTCGAGAACAAGTACAAGAACAAAGAACCTTGTGGTGAGAAATGTCGGTTAGCCCACCTCCGGCATGTGCATCGTTTTCAGCCGGCTCATCAAATTCAAGTTCTGCTAAATCCAAATTTTCAATGGACCCTTGAATACTGGATCTTCGTGAACTTGCTCGGCTTCGCATCATCTGTTATTTTATGATTTGAATTTAGAAAAAAAAATCATTTATGAATACTAAAATATATAAATCAACCTGCAAATGGCGATATTTTTCCCCGAAACGTTTGGCATGGATTCCAAGCATACTTTGTCGAACACCAGGAACAGCTGCGTATAATTCCCTAAAAAAATAAGAAATACGTTTAGCCAGAAGTCGAAGTACTACTACCGATACATTTAAAAACCTTACTAACAGTTGCACAACGTAGAGCGGTAGAGGACAGTTCCTCTCAGTGAGAAAAATTCAAATGAAGCCAATTATAACCGTAAACGGCTTTTACTGTTGTTGACATCGTAAAGTGCCAGGGCGAACAATAATGCATCACGATAATGGGTACCAGCCGACAAATCCGAGTCATATATCAATGGAACGGCGAGACGCCAAAACGCGACCGAGTTGTAGCCCAAACTCGATAAAAAATAATCAAACATAGGATCATATGATTTCGTGTAAGCTAAGCAAAATTCCAGCACCAAAAGTAAGCCCTAAAATATATTCCTTTTTATGAAATTTAACAAAATCAAAGCTATTATCAACTGAATAGCTGGGGATGTAGTCAGTAAAGTCCAAATTCTTATAACTTATGAAATTTCGAAAATTCAACATCTCTCGAAACCTGAAATGCAATTTCAGAAAATTTGTCCCGGGCTCGCCAACGATTTCTCAAGATTACGGAACATTCGCAAAGAAAATCATCAATTGAATCGGCACTCGGAATAGTTTCATCCATCTTCAGCAAAATCTTCTTCATTTCCTAAAAAAGCAATTTATAACCAGAGATACTAATACGGATCAGTCACTTGCAAAAATATATTTGCTGAAGAAATTTAATTAATATCGGGCGGTTTTGACCGTAACCGTAAAATCTGAAACTGTTTACGTATTAAGTTTCAAAGCAAAAAATCAATTACGAATTTTATTCGCTTGCTATGATTAAAATTTTTGTAAGGTCTGTTCATAAATCATTAAAAAGCAAACGTTTGCAAGCCAATTTGCGTATGCGAATGTTTCAACATTCACGGAAATGCGAGGTAAGATTTTTCTACATTATTCACGATAAGCCATTTTGTTCCTCCTCTTCTTCGTATTTCTTGACGAGAAAATAAAGACTGAAGCATTGTACAGAACTGTTAAAAACAAAAGCCTACTCTCCGAACTCTTTCGACACAATCCGTGTCATTTCTGAGAGCTTGAGCGGATCGCTGAAACGGGCGGTCAGCGAGAACTTGGGTGGTAGATTGGTTGTCTTGTTCCTCGCTATCCACTCCAAAAAATGTACAACTTTCGTGGTTATTTAATTCTGGCATCAGATTGACAACTTGACCAGTAGGTAACATTTTCGTTATCAGCTTGCCTTGCGTCTCGTTGCTGTTGTTTTCTAATCGGACATGATTGTTCACTTCTTGACTGTTACTACAATTTCAGTCTTTGAAAAACTAAATATCTAATTTTATCAGTATGTCCAGCTGCCGAGGTGTTTAACGATTACTTTGTATCACCTTGAGATAGTATATGAAATCCATGGCTTCATAGTCAAATCCAGACCGTGATCTGATAATCAGACCACGACATGCAAAGGGGAACTGCCGAATGAATATACATAACCGTGCGGAAACATCAGTTTGATATTAAACACGTCTTGAAAAAACCCTAACATGTTTTATTATTATTTGCAATTAATTGCGGATCAGGTTCTGTTTCCTATTGCAGACCGAATTCCAAAATAAGCACAGATTAGACGGAAAACGGATTGAAGAAGCAGTAGTGCACTGTCATTTTATGTGCCACTTTCAATATTTATTTAATAATCCTTGTACAGCTACATCACGAAAGGTATCAGGTTTAATGCTTTTTTCAAATAGGAAAGAAAAACTTTTTTCAAAAAGGAAAAATGGGTGTTTTTTTAAATTTCGCTGCATAAGTCATTTGAATACTGTAAAAAAATGTATTAAATGACTTACCTATCAACATCATTCGAAGATCTACACGAACCACAGGCACTACTCCAGTGACCTACCATGTGCACTTTATTTTCCGAATCAACAAGATTTTCAGGAAGTGTTTCGGGTTGTGATACATTGGAATGCAAAGTCCTATCGATCACTGACTCATCCGCCGAAATGTCTACTGGTAAGCCATCCTTATGCATTTCTTTTACCACTGATGGCCTATCGTCTGCTAAACACCTACTACTTTTATCCATCTTGCCTGGAAACAACAATTTCAGAACCTTGACGGTACCAAGCAGCAATTTTTCGATAGCGCCATACCAATTTCAATTGTTTACAAAATTTAATCAAAAAAAAATCCAAAGATGGCCTTGAAGTAGAAGGCACCTATCAGAAAGTAGGCATTCAGCATTGCACAATGATTAGACACGAATGGAAGAAGTGGAAAATGGAAGAAGATGGTATGATGGTATCAGTTGTGGTGTGCTATCATTATCGGTAGCGGTAGCAGTAGCAGTAGCAGCAGTAGCAGTATTAGCAGTATCAGTGGCAGTTGGCAGCTGCAATAGCAGCAGCAGTAGCATGAGCAGTGCACGACTACTTACAGCCGGGTGAGAATGGGTGACCCCACCCGACCTACCTGTCTTCGAACCTCTGCTATCTGTTCCATCAACAGCACCCACAACAATTAAAAAATACCAGAGGACACCCGCCTCATTTCTACCTCACTTATATACATATTTTCTCTTGTTGACATGCATCAAAATAGCTCTTTGAGTATATACGGTGGAAGAGGACATGAAAGAACAATAGAAAGATGGTGATAAAGAAAGAGGACCAGTGAAGAGAGATTCAGGAAGAGAGAGGAAAAACTGATCATCAGCAAGTAGAGAAGAAAATGTTGAAAATAAATGTTAGCAAAGAGATGAGAGTTATAAGTGAGAGTTACACAGCACTACTATTATTCTAAAGCGAGTACGGGGAGACGAGAGAGTTCTAATAGGTCAACGAACTCATCAACAAATGGAAAAAGCTCTGTGAACAGCAATCAAAGATTACTTTGAAGACTGAGAACATTCCATTATAGAATAAAAAAGTAAACATATAAGGAGGCAGATGGTGACACACACACACACACACACACACACACACACACACACACACACACACACACACACAGGCATACATGCACACGCATACACATATACACATAGAGAGGGACAAAACATTCTGGATTGGAGGACTTTGTGAAGAGATTGGTGCCAAGTGGAAGGCGGAAGCGGTCATCTTCAGGTCGGTGTTGACACGTTAACATTAACAAAGACGCTTGAGCTTTAGAAGTGTGTCAAATTGACATGTAAATAGTATGTAAAGCCATTTCTTTCTCCTCTAATCCGGACGATAGCATGCTTAAAAAACATTAACAGTCTTAGCAATGTTTCATTTAAAAATATCTTTAAATGTCATTTTAGTTTACACAAAATGGTTCATTTACGTCATACAGAATTTAAAAAATTTATTCAACCTGGACGAAAGTATCCTGATTTTTGTTAATAGCAATTTTATTTTAGCTAACAATTCATTTTTATAAAAAATTTATTAGTCATCTAAGAATATTACAACAGCTCAAATATATAATGCAGATCAGACAGTTAACTCAAGTAGTGCGTGAAACGTTACGAAAGGAAATTTATTGATATTTAAATATTTGAACAAAATTCAAATTCAATGTTCACATTTATTATCACAGTTTTAAAACTATAAATAATTTAAAAAAAACGATATTTCCATGTGATAAGATTCATGAAACCACGGATTACAACAATCAATATTTCTTCTATTTTTTCAGTCGCTTTCACAAAAATCTTGCTCAATTTTGATCACTATTTAATAAAATTGATTTTTATTTTATATCTCATTTATATTTTAATTTATTGTAATGTAAAATTAAATTCATATTTCATTCAATAAATTCATATTTCAGAAAGGAAATCACTTTTGCTCATTTCATTTGGAAGATGCAAAACTAAACTAAGTTTTGCATCCAAATGAATCTCTTTTGAACTGCCACCTCAGCAGACAGTCCCAAACTGTACTCTCCCGAACCAACAACTCAACTAAGTAATACAGTCGATACTCTGTTATTGATAAATCACTGTCAAAAGTCTTATAACTTCTAAGAAGAAAACCTCGCCAAAAAAATCAATCACCAAATAATTCGACCGTGCCGCACAAAGCTCTCCTAAAATAAAACATGACAAAATAAAGATCACAATGCGCGCGTGAAATTCACATCATCACACTTTCATTCATTGAGAAAGGTACAGCTGATTGCTTTTGTATACGGATAACTTTATAAAATAAATGATGAAAATATTTTTCAACACTTTTTTGTGATAACATATCATGATAGTTTGTTTGGAAATCTTGCGAACTTCGCTTTCAAAATATTTAAAAGTTTTAAAGCAGTAAATATAATCATAAAACATGCTAGGACTTAAATTAAGCTCAAATTCAAGTTGTGCAATCCAAATATTAGCTACAAGTCAAGTCAGTTTTAGTAAAGTTATTTGCAAAATTTTTAATTGCACCAATGCAAGTCATATTTGTACCCATTCGAAAAGAATGTTATTATTATTAAATGGATTTATCGATTTGACAATCAGAATATTTTTGTTTTGCCTGAAACAATAAATATTTTGTTATAAAATAAAATTACTTCTGAGGAAATTCTCTATGATAATGTATAATGTTCAAATAATAATACTTATAATAATGAAATTATGATTCATCTACCGCCAAGAAATTTTCACTTTCATTCTGGAAAGTTGAAAAACTGAGATTTTCAGTATAGGAATTGTTCCATATGACGGCGACAACCTCTTTAATCTCCAGCAGATTTTGTTTATGAATGTTAGAAATCCTAAATTTTTCATCGTGATAATGAGAAACATATTTAAGAAAACCGGATTTCAAATTTGTTTTTCATTTGAAAAGTTGTGACAACTTTTCAACTCAACTACTTTTCATCAGAACTGTTTAATGTATGCAGCTATATCTTTTGAAGATTAAAATATTAACTTTTAAAAGTGGACAATCATATGCTCTCTAATAAAGTACATTTTCTCTTATTGGCTCTTTTCATTATTTGGTACATGTCTCTTTTTTTAATTGATTATTTAATACTAAAAATCTGTAATATCAGGCGGTCGCAGTTGTAGCGACATCTGGAAAATGATGCAATTACGATTCCCATTTTAAAGAGAAATTAAAGCAAATTTCCATAGTTCAGTTCATTGGCTATTATTCAGTAATAATATTAAATTGTTGACTTATCTCATTATTGGAATATGTCCAAAGGTGATCACTTCACTTCCAATCAATTAATTTTCAATTGAAATTGATAAGTTTTCTGGTCTATTGACAGGCAGACCGTTCACTTTTTCCTACTACTATTAGTTGCATTACTATTCAGTGATCTAAACAAGTGATCGTTCCTTTTTATAACTATATTATCGGAACAATATGGTTTGTGGAAAAATCTAAATTGAAAAGTTGTTTGCTTCATTGTTGCAATGACAAACGAAAACGATAGGTTGGAATGTTGAAACTTGAAAAGAGGGAAAATGTTTTCTTTCGCAACAAGTTGGTGCAGAAGTAATATATGCCCGATAGTTGGGATTGAGGATATGTTGTATTAGGCATGGAATTTAGCTGATATAAGAAGCTGGGAATGATAAGGATTTTCTTGGAAAAAATGTGATTATGAGATTTTTTGACCAATACTCATTAATTTCACTAACTTTTTCAGCTCTGATTTATTTATCAAGTTTCTAAACATGAAGTTTTATGAATGAACAAGAAGATATTTCTTGGAGAGAAAAAACAGACTATATTGAATTTGGCTCTACCATTTTATGAAAATTATCGAATATTGACTAAGAAAGTTTGAAAAGACAGAAATTTGCATGGTGTTTTATATTAGAATTAACTTATGGTAGCTTAAGATACGATTAGTAAGCTTGGAAGTTATTTAACTCGTAGCAATTTACAAAGGCAAGTTTAATAGTAATCATTCCTATCAATTAATACTAAAACTGGATAATACCTGTTTGTTTTTCTGTGGAGATATCATTCATTTGCGTAATGAATGATTCATTCATTTATGTTTCGTTTTGGTTATCAAAAAATATTGATTTCTATAAAAAAGTATAAACATAAGAAATTATTAAAAATGCAAATAATAATAATAAAACCAAAGCAAAACAAAAGCCTTATAAAAGAAAACCTAATAACAACAACCAATTAAAAGACTCCGTAGAACTGATAATTAATATATCTCGATACCCACGCAATAAAAAAAATTGAAAATAACAAAAAAAAATCCATTACAGAAATCAACTAAAACAACAAAATAAAGCAAGTTAAAATCACAAAACAAATGACTTTCCCAAGCCAGTGAAAACATTAAAAAGCCAAAAATGAAAAGAAACAGAACCAGAGAAAAAAATTGCAATTTTCAAATATCAAACATCAAAAAGTAATATCCAGAAATTTCCTGAACAACATAGTAATTGACCAAACACCTACCTAACATCCTTCGAGTTATTAATTAAAAAAAAAATAAAAACAAAAGTACAAACAAACAAACACCCACCATCAAATAACATTAGTCTAAAACACGAAAAGATTTTTTTTAAATTTATAAAACAAATCGAAGGTGATGAAAAATGCCTTCAGCCCTCAAAAACAGTTTAGAGGAGATCATTGAAAAATTGAAGAAAAGGTGTTGAGAAGCAGATGATTGCATGAAATTTCAGTTATGCAACATAGGAATAATTTTTTTTATCTCTTGTGACTTCCGAAATTCATTTTTTATGACTGTATTTTTTTAATATTTGTAATCAATTTATGGATTTAATTTTTTGTTACAGTACTTCCTTTTCATTTTTTAAAAATAGATCTCTGGAATTTCAAAAAATGACTGCTAATATTTCTCTTGTTTAAGCAGTCGTAATGGTTTTAAATTTCTTTGGAAACTGGTTTAATGAACATGAAGTCAAAATGTTTCTCTTTCTGTAATTTGCAGATTTAATTTATTATATATAAAAAATGTTCTTCTTGTCTTCTTGCCATTGTAGGTCTTTACATTTATTGATGGCATTTGTTAGCGAAAATTTTTTCTTGCAACAACTGTTCTGATTTAATTGTTCTATTGTTTTAATGATGTCCAGAAATTTTTATGAAGTTTTCTAAAGATTTATTTTTTATTTTATGACGAAACCTTTTTAGAATTTTTAAAAACTTTCAACATCTGTATTTGATTAATAGTAAAAATTTTGCTCATCCATTAAATGAAACTTTTCGGAGCGATTTGTTTGCAGATAATTTCATAAATAGCACTATTGAAAGATTTTCAATTCTTTTTCTAAAAATTTCACTCACTGAAGCAAATAATTAGATATATTTTAGGTTGATCCCAATTTTTAGTATTTTTATGTAAGAAAATACTATCTTAAAACTTTGATCAAATTATTAAATGTAAGACAAAAACACTTAAAAATTGTTTTTACCATTTTATTTTTCAACCTTTCCCACTCCTATTCACATCTTTAGAATCTTCAACTGAAAAGTCGAACCTCTTATAAATAATCGTATAAATCGTATAAATCGTATATCGTATAAATAAACGATTCAAACAATTAAAGGACTCGTTAGACAGACATGTATTTAAAATCGATCTTTTAACTCATTACCTAATTAAATCAATTTTAGTTTCATTCATTTTTGAGTTTCACTTTATTTGACTTAATTATTCTGAACAAACAATACCGTGAAAATAGTCAATCATCTCTGTTTACTGCTATAAGCCAAAACTAGTTAAGCTAATTCTGTTAAACTGTTTTAGATAATTAGTGAATTTTAGACATTTATTTATTTACGCTACAACTGACTGCAGCGTTTTGACTATGATCCCAACCATGAATAATCTTCTTTCTGCATCTCTGAAAATCTATGATTGTGAAATTCCTATCAAAAAATTCACAGATTGAATGATTTATTTTCTTTCTAGTCCAAATATCATTTTAAACCACACTCTACAAATTCAACATTTCATCACAATCTATCAGCAAAAATTTTTTTCATGGGAGAGATTTAACAATATATAAAATTTGCGCACGATTTCTGATAAAGTAACTGATAAATGAAGTAATGAAATATCGTGCGGAATCATCAGCGCTTATTGAAATCATAAAGGAAATTTCGTTTTATGCTTGCGTTACAAAAAAAATAACAATGTTGAAATTAGTTGAAGCACAGTATAAAACTTTTGAATT